TGCATGCGCAGAGGCCTGGGGCGCATGCCAGCAGATGCCTCAGGGGAGGAAGGTGTGGGTCAGTAGAGGAGGCCCTGGCCGACTGCAGTCCCGCCAGTGACCACCAGATGGTGGTAGAAACCAAGGCAGGAGGCTCACCCTTTGCTGCTTCAGGACTCAGAATGTCTGAAGGCTGAGGGGCACCCTGGTCGCCTAACGAAGAGCACCACTGGCAGGGAGCAGGGATGAGAACTGCGGTTGGGCACCAAGCCTCCCATCTGCCCTGGGCCAGGGTGGAGCCTGGCCCAGATTTACCTGGAGTCTCTTGGGCACAGGGTCAGGCGGCAGCGGCTTGGAGGGGGGAGCCGGAAAGCCGAGAGCACGAGCCTGAGCCTGCCAAGAGAGCAGGAGGAGCAGACAGGCCCAGAGTGGGGAGAGAGGGGGCAGAGAGACAGAGGTGGGCAGAGAGGAGTTAGTGCCAGGGCGGCCAGCCAGGGCCCAGGGAAGTGGGGCTGGGCATGCGGTTATTCGGTTGCATGCAGAGTGGGTGACAAGTGGTGGAGCGAGCATGTAGGCCACCTCCCATGCACACTCCTGTCATCAGGGCGCACAGGGCTGGCACTCACCAGCCCTCCACACATGGTGCCCTGGGCCCCGGCAGGTCCCAGCTCACTGAAGGCCCGGTTTGGGCACGACCCTCCAGAGGTCACTGCTGCAGGCACGGACAGACCCACCTCTCAAAGCCACCTGTGTGGCCAGCTGAAAGAGCTCAGCAGACCCTGGCCTAGGTAACTGCCCTCCCACTCTGGGCTGGGCCCTGCTTCTTAGCCTGTAGCCAGGGAAGGGGAGCGGCAGGGAGGGGCAGGCCAGCTGGCCCTGACTCTTGTACCACCCCAGCCTTTCTGTGAGTCTAGAGCCTTAGTGGTCCACCCGCCTAGGGCCCAGGTTGGATGCCAGACCAAGCTGGGACCCCCTTTCTCTGGCATCCAGGACTCACCTGAGTGCCTGGCATCAGCAGGGCCCTCTGCGGGGGTCCTGGCCGTTCTGGGGGGCCAGACTGGGCTGCCCTGCGCACATGAAAAGGCAAGCAGAGGAGGGGCCCAGTGTCAGACCCGCCTTCCATCTTCTTGCTGCCCTTGGAGAGGAGCTTGGGTGCAGTTTAGGTCAAATCGGGGTGGGGGAGTGAGTCAGCCCGAAGGAGGGTCCACTCACCCAGCATGGGGCTCCCAGGAAGAAATGGCCCTAGCATTCCAGCCCTATAGGTGAGGTGAAGAGTTGCAGGGTGCATGCAGGAAAGGGAGGTACGAAGGGTGTGGCAAAAAGCAAGTTCGGGGTGCATGAGGCTCGGGGCTGCAGAGGTGAGGGCAGGCTTTGGACTTGTCCCCAGTTGAAGGATCTGGCGGCAGGGAGGCAATGCCCATACCTGTACTGGCAGCTGGGCCCCTTGAGCTGGCAGAGTCGCTGGCGTAGGCGGGCACGATGCCAGTAGCTGGCACCGAGCAGCACCAGGACCAGTAACAACAGGAGGCTGAGCAGCAGCCCTGTGGTCAGGGAGCGGGTTGCTGTGGGGTAAGGGTAGGTTTAGAGGTGGCCAGGGCCAGGGCCGCTATCTCCAGGAAGGAGCAGGGGGCAGGAGCGAAGTCAAGTGGTCAAGAAAGGCCAGGGTCAGAGCAAGAGGGTCATGGGCAAGGTGAAGGAAGAGCCACGTCGTGCTCCAGGCTGCCCCCGCCTCCAGCCCGTGCTACCTCTGAGCTGGGTGGTGCAGTCAGGGGGTGCCCAGCCCTCGTCACAGTGGCAGCGCCTACTGCTGTCGCAGACCTAGGAGGAACCAGGAGCCATGAGGCACTCCGTACGCTGGGACAGGGCCCTGTCTCCAGCACTCTGAGATCGTGGATCCCCAGGATTCCAGGTGCACTGGGGATGATGGGTAGAGAGCCGGAGCCTGGAGAGAGGCAGCCTTTTTCCACGCTAGGGGAACTGTCATCAGGTGAGCACTCAGTGAGCACTCACTGCCCTGTGCTGGGCACTGTGCTAGAAACTTCCACGCTCATCTCGTGCACCCCAGGAAGCAGGTACTAGTGCGGTGCCCCCTTTCACGTGAGCGCACTGAGCTGGGGGAGGGGGATAACCTGCCCCACGTCCCACAGCTAGGAAGTGGCGGAGTGGATTAGAACCCAGGCGTTTGTTTCCAAAGCCCATTGTACTTTTCCTCCCTGGAGGCCGCCCCCATTTTACCCCACACCGGCTCACCCCATGCCCATGGCATTTGCTCCGACATTCTTGTGCCCCCAGGAGATCCACGGGCTGGCAACGATGGTCCATGCATACCTGTCCCAGGGGGAGACAAGAGCAAAACTCACATTCTTGCCCTAATCCACTGGGACTGGGAGGCCACACCCCACTTTTACCGATGGGGAAACCGAGGCTCAGTGAGTGAGGCTCTGCTCAGTCAGCAGCAGAACCTTCTCTCAGAGTCTGGGCCTCTCACGCTGGTTGACAGCGAGGCCCGGGCCTCGCCCACCGCGGGCCAGGTGTCCCTTGCCACTTCTCTGCCCACCCACGCTGCTCACCAGGCCAGGGCCACAGGCTGTGCCGGGCAGCGTCAGGAGGGGCTGGGCCACGTCGCTGCCCAGGTCCAGGTGCACCCAGCTGCAGTTCAGCTGGGTCCCGTTGGTTTCCAGGATCTCCCAGAGCCAATCTCGGGCTGAGCCCAGCAGAGGCTGGGCCCTACCACCCTGGCATTGGAGCTGTCCACAAATGGCATCTCTGGGGGTACAGGGAGGACATGCAGGGTCAGCAGAGGCAGGACCAAGATTCCCAGAGGAGGAGCCACCTTCCCTCACTTACCTAGGGGTGCAGGACACGTAGTTGCCATTGGGGCTGCGCCCACAGCTCCCAAAGGCATCCCCCCGAGTGTTGGCTGTGAGGAGGCAAAGCGGAGCAGCAGGCTGGGCCCCGGGGCCCCAGAGCGACTGGCACTGCTGAGCATAGGAGGCACAACGCCCATGCATGCACACAGCCTGGCCGCCGGCACAGGGCTCGCCGTCTCCCAGGCCAGCGTCAGCGGGGCACTGGGAGCTGTCTCCTGGGCAGACCTCAGGCAAGTCACATTCGCCTCTGGGCGCGCGGCACTGCCAGCCGGCTGGGCGCAGCTGTGGAGGGGAGGCGGGATCTGTGTGGGTCAGATGACCCTTTCCACCCGTGCCTGGCAGGTGAGCTCTGGGTGGCCAGTCCAGTATGTGCCCACCTGGCAGTTGTGACAGCAGAGTCCGTCGGACGCACACTGTGCCCCGGGCTTCAGCTGGCAGGTGAAGTAATCGCAGCAGGGATCGGAGCATTCCTGGGGCAAGGGCACAGGCATGTTGGCACAGGTGGCCCGAGGGCCACCTCCTAGCCCTCCTCCCAGAGACCAAGCCAGGAGGAGGCCTGGCGTCACACAACACACAAGAGCTGGAGCCCCGCCACCCGCGGGCTGCCCCGAGGACAGGGGTCCCTTCAGAACTGGGAGGAGCTCTGGAGGCCGTGGCAGGGCACGGAAGGAAGTGGGGCAAGGCTGGGGTGAGGGGCTCACCTCTGAGAGGCCACAGTCACACTGCTCGCCCGGCTCCACCAACATATTTCCACAGAAGCTGGCCATGGCAGGCAGGCCGGGCAGCCGTTCGAAGAGGCAGCCACCCATCCCACCGAGCAGGGCCTTCTCCAGGGCCTGCCGGCTGCAGTTGCTGAAGTTTAGGCCTGGCAGGAAGCTGGGGGGAGAGGCAAGGAGGCTCGGGCCGTGCCCCCCCCCCTCCCAGCCACAGCCCTCCCCACCCTGTGGCTACTCACTCCGTGGAGGCCTCCATGATGCAGCTCTTGGCTGGAGCGGGGCCTGGACAGGGACAGCTGTTCCCGGGGGGGTCGTGGTCCAGGCCCAGGCTGTGGCCCAGCTCGTGGGCTATGGAGGAGGCAACTCCCAGGATACTTGTGGAGTGGTCCTGTGGTTGGGGAGGCGATACCCAGGTGCAGCCCCGACTTGCGTCCACCATAATGCCCAGCCCACCTGGCGCCCGTTCCTTCCTCATCTGACCTGAGCCCTCAGCAGGCACTACCTTCCTCCTTAATTGCTCCTAAAGGCTGGGTGGCAGGAAGTCTTGGTTCCAGCTCAGCACCAGCCCCCCACAACTGTGTGACCCTGGAGGTCCCCTCCACTCTTCTCTTCGGGCCTCAGCTATGTCCCCCCCCCGCCCCAGGAAGTGGGAAGACCTCCCAGGTGAGCACGGCATATGCTGTGGGGAAGTGGCCACAGGCGTGGGGCTCCCTGACGGCAGAGGTCACGTCATACACCCCCACCCTGTGTGCCCTGGGGTGGGCAACGCTATCGAGGCTGCCAGTGAGCAAGCAGCATGGCACTTGGCAGAGCTGAATCGAGAACAGGAAAGAGCCCTGGGAACAACTGACCATGTTCACACCTCCCGAGAAGTCCGGAGAACAGATGGAGTTCTGAATGGCCATGCCCACCAGAGGCCCAGAGAAGGACGCGCCACTGTGGGGGCAGGAGGTCAACGGTCAGGGCCAAAAGCCATGGTGGTCAGAGCTTCAGGGCCCGAGGTAGGGAGCCGAAGCGGTGAGAACTTGGCCAGGACAGGGCAGAGCCAAGACCTCTGGCTGAGCAGAAGGGGTCCTTACGTCACCAGCTGAGCGCTGTCGTGGGGCAGTCGAGGCAGCAAATCTGTCCGGCGCCAGTGCAGGAAGTTGTCCAGTGTGATGGCCGCGTCCGGGCTGATCTCCACCAGGTCACGGTGGGTCCAGGCCTCCAGGCCCACGAGTACCACCCGTACATTCAGGGCCCGGAAGAACTGAAAGAGACCTGGGGCTCAGAAGAGGGGTCACCGTGGTGGGGGCTACAGGGCTACTGCCCACCGCATACTCACTGTGTCCAGCAGGAAAGCCACTTCCAGCGTGCGGTT